AACTCTACCCAGCCACAAGGACCAGGGATCATTGAACAAAAAAGACCAGCTAAAGACACCCGTCAACCACAGTGACAGATAATCTCTCCCACTTACCACAACAATACATCCACAACAAAAACACGCTGATCACCCTGTCCTGAAAAGAACAAAAGCTGTTACCACAGCTATAAATACTTAACGATCCAACAAGCAGCAACAGAGCATGGACAGAGTTCCTACTCCTGTCCTCTGAAGATGTTGGCAAGAGACTGGTGAAACGTCAGGAAGAACAACCTTCAGAACACGACAAAAGAGCCTGAAAAACCCATAACAATTGATAATTGAATTTATATGCTACTGAAACAGTCAATCTCACAACAAAACCCATAACAACCATCGATAATTGTATATGCTACTGAAACAGTCAATCTCACAATCTTTGAACACACCAATGCTGTAGTTCTTTCTTCACCCAAGGACAGAGGTTTCACTGAGGAAGGTCCCGCTGATGTAAGTCTGCATGGGACAAATATCGAATAGGAATAGAGAGTATGTATGTTGGGAAGAGCGGATGTAGTGGCGCTGCGGGTTAAACCGCAGAAGCCTCTGTGCTGCAAGGTCAGAAGACCAGCAGTCGTAAGATTGAATCCACGCAACAGAGTGAGCTCCCGTCGCTTGTCCCAGCTCCTGCCAACCTAGCAGTTCGAAAGCATGCAAATGCGAGTAGATAAATAGGTACCACCACGGTGGGAAGGTAACGTCGTTTCATGTCTAGTTGCACTGGCCACATGACCACGGAAACTGTCTACGGACAAACGCTGGCTCTACGGCTTGGAGACGGGGATGAGCCATAGAGTCGGACACAACTGGCCTAAATGTCAAGGGGCACCTTTATGTTGGAAACATAGGTAATCAATGCACTGTAGATGTTCAGTGAACACAGAGGTCTTAAAATATGCAGAAAAAGACCTGATATAGTCATAGGTGGTCTGTTATCCAAAGAGGAAGGGGGTGTCTCACCAGCAAAGTTCAGAGTGAGGCCCCTTCCTATGCTCAGAATACAGTCCAATTATGGGTAGGCTTTTACTCTTAATAGGTAAAGGTAACTCTTGATAGTCTGATTTAAACTAGTAAACAGGAGAGTAGAATAATAAAAAAAAATTTGAAGTCAGCCAATTTGCTAGGATTATTTCAGGATTAACAGGGTGATCTAGGCCAGAAAAGATCGTCTCCTGGCCTTTTGCAAAAAGTGCTTGCAATATTATTATTTTTTCCACCTGCTTTTAAAAAATCCAGATATGCGAGGAAAGCAAGGAGAACGTGTGCTTAAAGATACGTATCTCCTGCTTTTGTACAGTTTCTAAGGCCCAGTTGCAGGGCCTGAGATTTTGCTGAGGATCCTAGAGTTCTAGTTTTTCCCCGTAATACCACCAGGAGGGAGCGACCATTATAAGGCTATCCTCCTAGCCGCGTTCAGAGCGAGGAGGAGGAACAGGGAATCCATAGTACCGTACCAAAACGTTAAAGAGGGAAAATACTCGCTTATTCCGTAGCAGTTTCGGCTAAAATCACGTAGTAATGTATTAAATAATACATAAACAAAGAACGGAGGGCTTTCCAAGGGAGAGGCCAGAAATAAAAAGAAGTGGGCATAAGCGGGTGTGCGTATGAGGGTCCAAAGCTTGCTCTGTGGCCCTGACGCGCCCCGGTTT